AATTTGTTCTTTAAATTTAACAAAAAATCGATTTGGTTTTAATAAAGTTATTTTTGTGCAATAAAGTAAATCAATTTTTTGTCATAATATTATTCCAAAAAATATTTTAATTTTAAAGTAATTTTTGTAACTTTGATGCCGTTAATTGAATTGCTAAAAAATACCTAAAATTTGTTATTTGAATTATTCTGTTACTGTTTTCCCGCTCATTACTAGAGACAACATTTTGTTAGTCACGTTTGTCTACTTAACAGCACCCTTTACCCAATCTGTTTGATTGTCTGATTTAATTAATCAACTTATTCAAATGTTAACAGAGTAAAAACGTTGACTGTGTTTATGAAATAAATTCTGTTTTGATAATAATTGTTGTCAATTTACCAAACATTTTAGCAATATTCAAAACTTTGCTTTTTAGTTCTAGTTTAAACAATTAATGCTAAAATGTCAAATTAAAAATTTTGCAAGTTTTATATTAATTTTGATTTTTAGTCAATTTTCAAAAATAATGTTATTTTTTATTTGAGACCTCTTACTGTTTTGCCACAAGACAAGTTTCAGTTCATTTTAATACACTACCAATGTGTCAAGTTTGTCACCATTTGAAACAGTTTTAACCATTAACCCCCAGTGGTGTTATCACAATTTAATCGAGAAAAATGGTCATGCACATTTAGTTTGACAGTTAACGAATCTTTATTTTGCAAAAACTATTAATATTTTTTGATTTTTTGTTTTATTTTTTAAATGGTATTACTGTTGCAGATTATGCAACTTTTTAAATGGTATTAAAATCTTTGTCAAACAAATACATTGTTTGGTTATATTTTACATTTTATAACCTGAAATTACGGCAACCATTTTAATTTTTTCGTTTTGTTTTCAATTTTTACTTTACGAACTCTAGTGTAAATGATAAAAAAATCGGGTCTAATTAACAATAAAGTCAACAATAAAGTTGTGCACCCCTGAACTTGGCCAGAATCCCAACCTGCTACCCAACTTTTTTGCTCCCCCAGTGAACTGCTAATTAAATGAACAACTATCGATGATAGCTATTCTCTTGTAGCGTTAATTCTGCAATGAACAAAAAAGACTTTTTCGGCGTGGTTAAAAAGACATCAAACAGGGGAGAGAGAGAGAGAAAGAGAGAGAGAGAGAGAGAAAGAAGAAGAACCAGTTCAGTTTAGTGGTCGGCTATCATCACACACTTGAAATTGTAAGTGGTGCTACCCCCAAAAATGATGCTGCTGCTGCCGTTTGTAAAACTTGCTAGTGGCAATTGGAGAAAAGCAAAAAACTGGCTGCAACAACCATCACCTCACAGTGTTGATTGCCCAGTGCCTCTCCCAATGCCTCTCTCTCTCTCTCTTTTTTCCCTTCCTACTTGTCATGGTCAGCAGCAGCAGCAGCAGCAGCAACAGCAACGGTCAACTGCTGCGCTCGCCACTGTGCTGGGCAGTGGTCGCCGCGACAAGGTTCAAATATTCTCCTCATCTTTGTCCTCCTGATCTTCCTCCTCATCCCCATCCAGGTAGTTGGTATTCACACGGACACATTCATTCTGTCTGTTTGTCGGTTTGTCAGTCTGACTAGCAGGCTGGCTGGCTTTGACTCACACAGGCTGCCAGTTTCGATGTGAACATACTTTTGCGCGCGCCTGCGTTTGTTGCTGGTGGTGGCGGTGGTGGTGGTGGTAGCAGCAGCAGTTGTTTCATTCCAGTTTAGCAGTGTGGACGCAATTGCTGCTGCCGTTGCCGTTCAAACTTGAATCAGCCACTGCCGCCGCTGTTCGACGTTCAGTTCAGCTAGTCAGTTGTCCGTTGTTGGGCGCGTTTGTCAGTGACAGTAGCGTATGCGACAAGCACAGTAGTGGTACTACTACACCTCATTGCCGAGCGGTGATGTGCACACTCACACTCACACACACCTCAGTCGCACCGGAGTAAAGTGAGCGAGAACGCGCGAGAATGAAGAGCGAGCTGAATGGAAACCTGAAGATTTCGCGTGCGCGGCAATCGCTTTTTGCTAGCGCGGCATTCGGCTGTTCGGCGTTTTTGCTCGCCCTGCTCTATCTTGTTTGCCTGCCTGCCGCCTGTTAAATCGATGTGCTAGTCAATGAGTCAGAATGAATTGAGCAGTTCATTGCCGCCACACGTCTCATTAACACACTGTGTTTACCCGTTATTTGACAGTTTTGATCACTGTTCTGCCAGTTGAAAAAAAAGCTGAAGCATCAGCATCAGCAGTGTCAACTGCATCACTTTACTCTATCTCAATTTTTTGCAATTTGTATTTAAATCTGCCATCATTTAACAACTTCAAACTGTACTGCAAATGTAAATGATCACACTGGCAACTGGCCATTACTTCTACATTACCATATCACAATGATAAAATAAACCGCCTTCCTTGTTTTATTTCACTTTCAACTAATCACCACTATTTTCTTTCTTTTTTTCTTTCTTTTTTTTGCTCTCCACTGTTTTTGTTATGTTTACTATCAACACCATTACCAGGACAACAACAGCAACATCGCTACAGTTGAATGTGTTTATGTTATTTGAGCAAACGAAGTTGGACTGAAGTGCTGGTGAAAGTCTGGCAATCACCAGCGGGCAGTGAGTAGTGCACAGGCTCCAGTAGTGCACTACTACCGACCAGCGAGTCAGCCACAGTCAGTGTTCATCATCTTTCATCTTCTTCGTCTCTTCTTTCTCAGTTGTCGCAAACACATTCAAAACATCGCCGCCACCGCTAAAAACTGAATTTCACCATGCCTCGCCCAGCTTGGTTGAAGGAAGCCCAGCAGCAACGGCCACAGCCGTCGAACGATACGGCACCAGCAACAATGGCAGCAAATGAGCAACCAGAGTTTAGGGCGGTGGACAGACAGATTCGCCCGTCATCTCATCCGGTTTCCTCTTTCGGGACCACCACCACCTCTCCCTCTTTCTCTTCCTCCTCTTTCTCTGCCTCCTTTTGGCACTGTCGGCCAAGGAATTTGGCCGCTTTTCTCCTCCTGAGCTTATACATCACCTTCCTCCTGAGCCCCTTTCCTCCGCTCACCTCGGCGCAGTACGCCTGGCAGAAGCAGGACAGTTTTGATAAGATTCAGCAGCAAATTGACTCGGTCAACAGCGACAACTGCAAGGTTGTCGACGTCAACAAGTTATTTCTGCAGTCGGGCACGGTGTCGCACGTCCCTGATCTGCAGTGGATCGGCATCAATCCTGTTTTTCCCAACCGAACCAATCTGCTGCAGGTGCACAACATGGCTCTCAGCCGAGCTTTCTTTTTAAGGTAATTGTCATTCCATTTTTTTTAAAATTGATATTTTTTCTAATGAAACCTAAATGACGATTTGCAAATGCTTTTGAGAAGTTGTTATCACTGACATCTAAACTCACTGACAGTACGTTAGCAGATTTAATTGCCCGTCGAGGTCGTTTCACTTTGCCCCCTTCAATTTAGTAGTTTTGCCTGTTGAGTAGGCAGTAGGGTGTGAACAGTGGTCGGTGTTGTGATGGCAGCAGACAATACAAAGAGGTGCGACAAAGTTAGCAGCAGGCAATGACAGTGTGTGTTTAGTGTGCAGTGACTGTGAGTGCATCACAGGGCACAAGTGCTACGCCAGCCAGCCAAGCACTGGGCATCATCATCAAGGCAATTTAATGTGCAACGAATGGCAGTCTCACTGGCAACGGCATTCACCGTGGCAAGGAGAGAATGTGCACTGACTACCACCAGGCAGTGGCGGAAGCCACTTGACAAGCACCAGGCGCACCACACTTTAACCAAGAGATGCAGACCATTTGCATAGGTCTTTTTGCAGTGGCCTTTCTTCTTTCCTTCCTTCCTGCCTGCCTTCCTCTGCCTGTGCACGCTTGATTTACTCAATAACTCAATCTATACTGCAGAACATTCAACATTACTGTTTGCTTATCTCCCCCTTTCTCTCTCTCTCCTTCCCCTCTTGAGCAATCTTGAAAATGGAATTTTGTTATTCAAGCAGAAAAGGCTTTTAAGATAGTATCATCAGAATCGTGTATGTAAACGCAATTTAGTAGCGTGTAGTTTGGAGAAACAGCTGAACGGAAAAAAAGGGTAGTAGATTTATTATTGGAAAGATTGAGCCTTTAATGCAAACAATCAAATTATGCATTGTCTATAAATTAAGCGCCTATGTAAAAAAATAAAAAATATGTTTAACGCAATAATGTAAAGTAGATTTTTTTGTAAAAAAAGTAACAAACATGATAGACCAATTAATGCGTAATGGGTTTAGTAAACGTTCAATTTAAAAGAAGACAATAGAGCAGGAAATTCGGTTATTATTTGCAAAAAATGCGCTTTCAGTGAACGGTAAGCACCATTGAAAGCGTGTAATGGGTGCTTGTGTGTGGCATATTGAGATAAATGAACAAAGTATTAAAGTGTACATTGTGTTTGCTAGGGTAATCGGATGAGGTGAACTTGTGTCAGACAACGGGTCAATGCCAACAGCTGCACACTCAAGTGCTACAGAGACATAAACCACCAACAAAAACATTACAGAGAGGATTTGCTGGTAGACAAAAAAAAGTACATGCACTACTGAAGTGAGCAATCTCTCAAGGCATCAATATTGTTTTAGGGCACAACGCATTTAGGCACCAAATACCCCTAACAGCCATAATCTGGTAATTGCCAAAAACTGAGTATCGGCCCGGCAATTGATCCCTAGTGTAAATAAGAGGAAAAAGAGGAAGAAGCGTCGTTCACGGAAATAGTATTACTGCTTACTCTAACGTGTTAAACATGACAACTAGCCAGCAGAGCATTAGTCTGATTGCCTCCTCTTCAGATACAAACAGAAACCTTTGATTGGTCTCAGAGGGGGCTACTACCACTACTTACCAGTCTGCGGATCTCCCCTCTACCCTCTTAATGTTGTCCACTTCCTAATTGACAAGTGTTTTTTCTTCTTCTTTTTTTTCTCCGTTCCTTACCCAAATCAGTTACATTCTGCAGAAGGCGCCGGACGACGCCGAGCCGGGCCTTCTGTACTACTACCTCTCGACGATCGCCGACGTGGCCGCCAATCGGTACATCAACGCCAGCTCCTTCTACTTTGCGCCGAATCACGCCTTCACGCCCTCCTACCGCGGCTTCTTCAACAAGACGCTGCCCCTCTTCGGGCCCCGAGCTTACCGCGCCGACGACTTCAACGACCCCTACCACCTGCAGCGCACCTCGACGCTGAACACCATCGAGGCGACCGACGTGGGCGCCATTCCCAACAACTCCCAGTCGGCCAACTACACCAACGAGCAGTACCGCATCAACGACTGGTACAACGCCTGGCTGCCGGACACCACCCGACGGCACGACTCCAAAACCACCTACACCGTACTGATCACCCATTCCAACGGCACCAATGAAACCTTCGTCTGGCACGGCCCACCGGCGCCCTCCGACCCCCCGGGGCCCATCAAGTGGATGCGCCCCTACTTCGACTGCCAGGGCACCAATANATAAGTGGCTGTACGGCGCCTCCGTGCCCATTCCCGACATCTACCCGCGCCACACTGGCTGGCGACACATTGAAATTCCGATGTAAGTGCACTGAACAACAACAAAAACTATAACAGTAGAGAAAAAGACAGTAACAAAAACAAAAACAACAACAGCAGCGGCAAAAACAGTAGCAAAAACAGTGATGGTGTCAAAAAGAGAGAGAGAGAGAGAGAGAGAGAGCGAAAGGAGAGAGTGTACCAGAACTTGACAGGCAATCAAAACGGCAAAAAATGACTTTGCCCCTTGTTGTTCTTTTTTGTTGCCTTGTGCCTAAAATTAACAAGGGCGGCAGAAAGGAAGTGAAAACAAGCAGGCAAGTAGCAAGTAACAGCAGCTAGTTCGGCGGCAGTCAAAACTGTCAGAATTTGTGAGGTTAATCGAATTTTCAGTTACCATAGTCACAGACGCACACACCGAGGCAAACTGACGACGACGACGACATTGTTTATTGAGTTCGACAACAGCGGCCCAGTGCAGTACAGCACTTTATACCCGGTGTGTGTGGTAGTTAATTCAAGTAGACACAACACGGGGAAAATAATATTACATAGCCTGCAAATGCAAACGTTGTCGCCAATTTGCGGGACATTTGAGAACGCATTAATCATTGCCTTGGTTACACCAGCACTCAACACTGGCAAGCAGGCAGGCAGTCTCGTGAACTGAGCCTAATTGATTGAAAGGTTATTGACTGTCTTATTAAGTTGCATTTGTGCGATTGATGGCTAAATTAGGCTAGAAAATGACAGGCAAAAAAAGTAACACTAGCTTTCAAAAGGGGAAAATAAACAAAACAGAGACTGGACACTTAATTTAAATTTATTGTTTAACACTTCAGAAAAAGGAGTCATAAAAAATCACTACTAACTGCATTGTTCACACTGTTTTTAGGTACGTAGCCGTGGCGGTGATGGAGATCGACTACCAGCGGCTGGACATCAACCAGTGTCCGGTGGGGGAGGGCAATCCACCGCCGAACATCTACGCCAACACTGCCCGCTGCCAGAATGTGACCACTGAATGCGAACCGGTGCACGGTTTTGGCTTTCGCCGAGGCGGCTACCAGTGTCGTTGCAAGCCGGGCTACCGCCTTCCCGAGATGGTCCAATTCCCATTCAGGGGCGAGAACATCGAACGGGCGACGCAGAGTGAATTCGAGGGCGGCTACGCCTGCGAGAAGATCGGCTACATTGCCGTGCGCACGCAAAATGTCCTGCCCATCGACCCGCTTGAACGCCGGAAATTGATCATGAAGATGGAAACGCTGACCGGCGTGCGGGGCAACTCTAGCACCTCTGCGCGCATCGACCCGGACACGCTGAGCGGCTTTATGCGCACGGTGAACCCAGACAACTGCCACCGGCTGCGCTCAGAGGAGCTGCGCCTGCGCGGCGACGTCGCCCACGGGAAGGAGGTGCAGTACGAGAACCAGGCCCGGGTGGCCCTCCGCCTGGCCAACTTCCTCTCCGCCTTCCTGCAGGTGGTCGATCCGAAGGAGCAGTTTGCGGAGTTCCGCGTGCCCGACAAGCCGCTCAGCAAGGACCAGGTGATTGGCGAGGCGCTGGCGGCGATGATCGGCGACCAGAAGGCGCTGGGCGTGGCGGTGATCTTCCGGCCGCACAAGCTGCACGAGAACTACACCCACTTTGCGCCGTACGCCTACAAGCTGGAGCGAAACACGCGCAAGTTCTTCGTCGACGACCTGGGGCGGTACGGCGAGGAGCACCGCCGCCATTACCTCAACCAGGAGTACTACAAGCGGCTGCTGGTGCGCTGGTCGCTGGTGGACGCCGAGGAGCTGGAGCAGTACACGACGAAGATCAACATTCGCTACAATGCGGCGGGCTTCAATAAGATCCGCTACGACCGCTATCCGCTGCAGTACCGGGCGGCGGAGATCCGCCACGGCTTCTGGACGGTGCCCTACTTTGACTGCGGCGGCTTTCACCACAAGTGGATGATCACCTTCGCGGTGCCCTTCTTCGGGCCGGACGCCATCAAGGCTCGCATCGAGCTGAAGGGCGTCGTCGCCATTGACGTGCCGCTGGAGAGTCTGGACATCAACCAGTGCGGCACGGCGACGCCGCCCGAGTTCGACTACAGCCTGGGGGCGATCAGTGCGGCGAACCAAGGCGACAACGTCTACGACCTGCAGACGGACAACTACCCGCTGCACAAGTACGTCAACACTCCGAACGCCTTCCGCAACACGCACAAGTGTGACCGCCTGTCCACCTTCTGCGTGCCCATTCTCGGACGGGGCTTCAACGCCGGTGGCTACAAGTGCATGTGCGGCCAGGGCTTCGAGTACCCCTTCAACGACGACATCACCTACCACGACGGACAGATCATGGAGGCGGAGTACGAGAACATGGTCCGCAATAAGAACTCCCGCTACGATACGCTCGCCTGTCGCGTCGCCCGTGCCCCTACAGTAGGCGTTCTCTCTGTGTTCGCCCTCCTGGCGTCTGCCCTGGTGGCAGCCGCCTTGTCCCACTTTCTCTGTCTGCTTTCCTAACACTTTTTAACACCTTTTCTTGTCTCTTGTTTTCCACCCTCTCCTTTTCACTTCTGACTGCCCACACGGTAGAAGTTGTAGTGGCAGTTGTCAGGAGCATATTGACATTGGCAGCCAGCCAGCCAGCCATCCAGCCAGCTATTTTCCCAGTCATGGTCATAATCATTCCCCTCGCTAGCAATCCAAGCCTCCCTTTGACCACTTATTCTTTACCTTTTTGTGTCAAACAACGAAACACCCATTCAGCATCGTCTTTACAACGCAATTCCACTTTCCTCCCTCCCCTCTCTTGTCCGTTCAAACTGCTACCACAAACGCTCAACTGATCTGGCTGGTGATCTCCTCATCATCTCCAGTCATTCATTTATTCATGTTTTCATTTATTTTACTTTTTCTTTATTTTTCCTCTTTTCCCCCCTTTCCCTCTCATTTGTTTAGTTTCGAGCCTAAAGCAACTTGCTTACTTGCCATCAACACAACTTTCTCTCTCTTTCTCAGCTCTTCTTTTCCACTGTGCCTCTTTTTATACTTTTCAATCACTTTTCCTTCATCTATTCTTTTCAGTTGGCAGCAGTAGTGCATACCTGCTATTTCATCTTTTTTACAAAACTTTTTTATACAAGCTTCTTTTTGTCCCTTATTTCCAACCGTCCTCTGCGACTAAGCTTTTTATTTATTTTTCCTCTAAAACTTAGCCTTAAACAGGTGCCCTTTATAATATTATTTTTATCCGGCTCATCTGGATTACGTAGTAATTGTCTTGGTTATACTTTTATTTCCATTCCTGATTATATATTTATAAATTTGTTGTCTTTTGTAGCTCCACATAAAAAATATAATTAACTGCAATCATGTAACTTCTTTTTACCTAAACTTTTGTAAACTTTGTTGTTAAATTTAATTACTAATAATTGCAAAAAATAAGATAAAATACAATAAAAAGTTTAATTTTAATAAAATTAAAAATGTCAGCCTATTAATGCATTTCGTTGTTTGTTTAAAAAATTAATTTAAAAAACAAAATAGTAATTTAAAGGACAAGTTAGAAAACTGACAAAATAATATGTTGCATGTCATAAACAAAAAGATTATAAGTACAATAAATTAAACGTTTAAAATTACAAATTTTGTGATTGCAGTGACACCTATCCAGTCAAAAAACAATTTTAAAACAGCTCAGACAGCTCTTGATTTGAACGAAGTGTTTGTATTGCTAATCCTTGTTCTTTTTGAATTGCATCGTAAGCCAGTGCGTTGTTGGTGACTATAGAATTCGACACAGATCTTGGTAAAAATGAAACTCGAGTTTTCCTTTTCTGTTTGAGAACTTTAACATTTTTCCAGCAAGAGAATGCAAAAATGATGTTTTTCAGTAATTGTGCTCCATAACTAGTGCCTGGCGTAGTTCTTCTTTTTGTGTAAAAATAAAACAAATACTCCCCAACTGCAATGATCACTGCAAAGATGGTGCCAGTCGCAAGTACAACAAAAACGCCGCCAAGGTTGAATATGTTCAACTTAACAAGCGGCTGAGCTGGTTTTGTCGAGCACTGACCGCCACCTTTTTGCTTCCACCAGCGGTCCTTGAGTGACTGCAGAACACCCGTCTCTTGCAATTTGAGGATAGTTTCTGACAGTTGATTACGCAATTTGGAGTTCTTTCTGATAGCGACACCGTAGCCTTTGTGGTCGAGCAGGCCGCCGATTTGCGTCAACGAGCAGAATCGCTCGGTCATGTACTCAGTTGTGGCCGATTCCATGAAGAAAGCGTACTTGCCATTCTCATTATCTACCTTTTCTGCTCCGGCAGCATTGCTGGCTGCCATCAATGAGGGATGAGCGTTCATAAAGTTGCCTATTGCTCTGTACGTCGGAATATTTGAATTCTGCAAACAACAAAAGTTGATTTTAAAACAGATAAAAACTTGATATGAAAAAGTTTTAACTTACTGTAAAAAATTTGTACGTTGATCCATTAGCTAAACAGCCATAAGTAATTTTATTTTGCGTTGCTAGCTCTTCAACTGTGTTAAATGGAAAGCGAGTTTTCTCAACGGTGAGAAACGCAGCCAAGTTGGCCGTGTACGAAGACACCATGATCAGGGTGAAAAAGTACCAGCTTGAGATGATTAAACGCGTAGAAAGAGTTCTAATTTTAGAAAAAAAATGTTTAAAATATTTAGTAAGAATAGGAAATAGCAAATACTGAGTTTACTTTGGTGTAATATCTGATCCTTGCAGCATCAGTGAACCAATTGTTGCCCAGAAGCTGTTTTGCATGCTGCAGTCATTTTTCAGAATGTGCTGATGATGCCTACATGCATTGCGAATTGTCCATTCATATGGCGTAAAACGGCCAACGTAGAAGAGCACCAAACTAATGCCAGCAAATGCCGTCATCAGATAGAGCCACACTGTTGGAGTGAAGGGCGACAGAAATGACCAAAATGAGGACTCCTTTGTCAGCGGATTCTTGTACACTATCGAGATGCCCGTCATCATGAATGGGTGGGTGAAGTCGACAGCCAGTTCACGGTCTGAGTTGATGGTCAAGTCTGCCACGGCGACATCAGCTTTGCCACTTAAAACTTCTCCGATCATTCCTAAAAAGCAGTTTTTGTTAACATTTGTTACATTTACAAAATATAAACAAATACCATTCCATTTGTTGGTTTTGCTATTAATTGCTCCGTACTGGCCATCATTTACTAAGTTGATCTCGAAACGAAAGTTCAAGAGTTTGCTTATTTCACTTAACAAGTCGACGATGTAGCCTTCATAACGATCATTTCCTTTTAACTCTCTTGTACTGTTTTTGTTCATTAAAAAAGGCTCATTTAGTAGTGTGGTCACTCGAATTACATTCAATGTTGTTTTGCTTGTAAACTTCCAATTTGATGTTTTTTGAAAACCTGTGTGCTGTTTCCAAATTGCAATTACTTCAAAATCTTTTTCGGTTGTACTTAAAATGTCAAATGAAATGTTTTTACGGAATCCATTTTTTTCAAAACTGACAAATCCAGTGAGACCTTCTATTTGCATTTGTCGACTGTAATTTACGATTGAGCTTTTCCATTTCCATGGTTTACTATTTTCACAATTGTTTTTGGGTATTTCGTAAGTGTGTACGTTTTTCAAAACTTTACCCAATAAATGAACTGAGTCGTAGATTAGTGCAGATTGAGTCTAATATAAAACAAAAAATTAAAATTTATAGTTTTGAAAAAATTACAACCTTTAAATAAAGTGGTGGGTTTAAATGTTTGCCAAATGGGTGAAGGTATTTTGCAGAATACTCATCCCAATTTTTCCTCAAAGACAGTAAACTTGGATGATTGTTTTGAACTATTCTCAACGATGTGATATTTGCTTTGCTAAACCGATAGTTAGTCATATCCAAAATGTGCAAATCAAGCGATGCAATGAGAAAGTTATAGTTTTCGGAAAGTATATTAACTTGCAATGCCTGTAAAAATCATTAAAAATATTAATTTTAAAACAAATCAGTCAACAAACCTGCTGCAAAACTTGATTCAAATGATCAGTTTTAATATAAAGTACAATGTTCTGAACTTTTGAGTGTTTTAGTTTTTGCAAAACGTTTCTATAAGGTCGATCTGGCAATAATTGNCACGATTGAGCTTTCCCATTTCCATGGTTTATTATTTTCACAATTGTTTTTGGGTATTTCGTAAATGTGTAAGTTTTTCAAAACTTTACCCAATAAATGAACTGAGTCGTAGATTAATGCAGATTGAGTCTAATATAAAACAAAAAATTAAAATTTGTAGTTTTGAAACAATTACAACCTTCAAATAAAGTGGTGGGTTTAAATGTTTTCCAAATGGGTGAAGATATTTTGCAGAATACTCATCCCAATTTTTCCTCAAAGACAGTAAACTTGGATGATTGTTTTGAACTATTCTTAATGATGTGATATTTGCTTTGCTAAACCGATAATTAGTCATATCCAAAATGTGCAAATCAAGCGATGCAATGAGAAAGTTATAGTTTTCAGAAAGTATATTAACTTGCAATGCCTGTAAAAATCATTAAAAAAGTTTTAATTTCAAAACAAATCAGTCAACAAACCTGCTGCAAAACTTGATTCAAATGATCAGTTTTAATATAAAGCACAATGTTTTGAACTTTTGAATGTTTTAGTTTTTGCAAAACGTTTCTATAAGGTCGATCTGGCAATAATTGATACATGCTAATGTCGTAATTTTTAATGTTTGCAGATTTGAAAAAGTCTTTAAAATGAACAATGTTTTCACTGTTTTCATAAACAATTGCAAAGTGTTTCCAGCCCCAATTGTCAATAACATCCATTAATGCAGTTGAAAAAACGGTGGTTTGCGGGTGAAGGTTTATGGCTAGGTTGTGGAAACCATCAAAATCAAAAGTTTGTCTTGCTTCAATGTGTGGAATTTGGAAGTGCTCACATATGGACTGCATTTGCATCCAGCTTATTTCGTCAAAAGGCCCAAAAATGGCAATTATTCCGTTTTTTAAAAGATGACAAGCTAAAAATGTTAATTCCAGTTAATTTGCAACAACAAAAATTAAAAATGTTAGTTTTAACAAATAAATTTTACCTTTGGTGTTTACTTCAAAAGAATTAAAAGACGAAACAAAATGAACTAACGGAACAATAGTAGTTTCATTAATTTGAACTTGAAATTGCAATTCATCGACAGCTATGCAGAAAACTAGTAGTTCTTCAAGTTGATGCTCGGTAAATAAACCACCAATAGCAATTTGTTTTGACGCATTGCAATGCTGGCTATAAAAAAGTAGCGAACCAACAAACAACATATAAAAAATTTGAAAAATATTCATGTTAAAAAACATTAACATTAAGTAAAATTTTGGTTTTTAACATGAAAATTTTATTTAAGTTAATTTTCTAATGTTTGCCTAGCGTCTAAACGTTTGAGCAAGCCAAAAATTTGTGTACATTGACTACTACCACAACAATTCTAAAAACAGTTGGCGTTTGCAAAACAAATTCTAAACTAAATGAATGAACTGTTTACATTTGTACTGAACAACAACTGGAGTTAATTAAAAGAAATTAGTAACAGTATTTTGCCTTCTGTCCCATCAATAGTTTTGATTTTACTTTTCTATTTTTAGTTGCCATTTAAACAGTAATACATGTTTTTACTAGTTCTTCAGAAAAAGCAATTTAAACTTACGCGCATCAGTAAAACTACAAAATGCAAAATTTTTATTTGTTTTTTATTTGAAAATTAGCTGTTAAATTCTTTTTTTAAGACAACCAATATAGCCAGCAAAAAATTTTTTTTGAAAAAACTATCATTGAATTACTACCAAAAACAATTTTTTAAATTGAAAAAAATGTTTGTTAGCGAAAATTTTTTTTAAAAAAAATCTCGCTTTTAATCTCACTCTGTGTCTGTCCGTCTGTCTGTCTGTCTGATTGACGTGTCGAAAAACCTCTTCCCATTTTCCGATTTTGCCCAAACTTGGCACAAAAATCACATTAATTCAAACAAAAATTCAGACGAAAGAATTAGAGTCATATGACCAACGGGTCCCGAGATACAGGGACCCGAAAAAACCAAAATAAAAGCATTGTGAAAGGTACAGAGAGAGGAGAACGGCGGACAGTAGCAGACGTGGCGTGCAGGAAAGTATGACTCAGGCTGTAGTGAGCAGTGCTCACTGAGCACTGAGCAGGCTGCAGGGAGAGAGAGAGAGAGAGAGCTGCACAGAGCTGCCAGACAGGGGAAAAAACGTCCGAGATCTCGGACGTTTCGACAAGCCAGCCCTTTGACGGCAAAAAACATTTTTAAAAAAACAATTTAACAGTCCTAACCTAATATAACAGCGAGGGCGCCGAAGGCAGCCGAGCTAACGAAAACACCCAAAAAGTAACTCTAACCTAACATTTCAACGAGGCCGCCAAAAGCGGCCGAGCCAAGGGGAACACCCCATCAATAACCCTAACCTAATATAACAGCAAGGGCGCCGAAGGCGGCCGAGCCAACAGGAACACCCAAAAAGTAACCCTAACCTAACATAACAACGAGGCCGCCTAAAACGGCCGAGCCAAAGGGAATTCCCAACAATAACCTTAACATAACCGAGAATACCCAAAAAATAACAATAACTTCAATTGTCAGGCGTTCAGGAGTTCCCGTTGGTTCGGCCGCTTTCAGCGGCTTCGCTGTTATGTTAGGTTAGAGTTACTGATGGGATGTGCCTCGCTGTTACATTAGATTAGGGTTATTGTTGGGGTGTCCAGTGGCTCGGCCGCTTTCAACTACTTAACTGTTATGTTTTTTCTTGATGCCGCTAGACGGCACTGAGCGNAGTTACTGATGGGATGTGCCTCGCTGTTACATTAGATTAGGGTTATTGTTGGGGTGTCCAGTGGCTCGGCCGCTTTCAACTACTTAACTGTTATGTTTTTTCTTGATGCCGCTAGACGGCACTGAGCGGTA